TACATATATATTATTCATACCTTTGGTGTATAGGGTGCAAGCAGATTTTGACACTAAAAAATGTGTATTATACACTGAAAAATACGGTATATGAGTGATGAAGTTACACAAACAGGTCTTATTTCTACTGTGGCTTCTGCTGTTAACTGTTGGGGACATTCCAACCTTTGTTTAACATGTTCTGCATTACTGGGCCTTCTTCTCCCATCCTGTCAAATGATGTTCTTTCTCCTCAGCCAGGAATGACCTATTGGACTACAAATTAATGTAACCTGATTTGCTTTGGTTAGTGCCTTACCATCCCAGTTTCTTTCTGGATCTTATTCCTAGGTATGTTTCTCTCCTTATCTTATGCCTATGTCATTTAATATTTCTCTTTACTCGATGAACCCAATTCTTGGGGTTTACTTTTTTTCTCCTTGGTTATTGCTAAGGTTTATGCTGTTTCCTTTCTCTAATAGCTCCTCTTTCACACCTAAATGCCTTGCCCCCCTCACATTTGTGACTCTTTTGTCCTGAATTGCAGACATTCTTTCTTTCTTTTCTAGATTCCCTGTCTTAGGTGTATATTTGTCCTGCTTAGAAATCAGAGTTCTTTCCTTCTATTTCACTCTCTGGTTCCTCATTTTTGCATCTTCATCTTTTTTCTCACCATCCTCCAATATTCCCTCTCCTCCACCTTTGGTTTGAAGCACTTCATTGTACTCCAGGGAGGTTTTCTGTAGAAGTTTGTTCCCTTCGCTTTGTCAGCTTAGTCTGTTCCACCTCTGCTGTGTCCCTTTTAACTTTGTTCTCTTGCTGTTGGGACTCATTAGGTCAGGTTGCATTCTTCTTTACTATACACCGACCTCCTTCTTGTGTACACGGTTTTTTCAGGCTCTCTTTCTAGCCCTGGATGTCTTCAATAATGTTAATTTCTCACTGAGGACCTAGACTGAAGCTATATGAATTCAGTCCTCATTACCTTCCCAGGTTTTTCTTCTTTCTTGACCTGACCCTTTGATCAATCTACCCCTAACTTTCCCACTCTAGGTTCCAGGCCATTTCCTTGTCCTCCCACTACCTGATGTCTGGTTCACTGCTCTTCTTTTCAGTGACTATCATGTCATGATCAGCTCTTTGGATACCCATCTCTTCTTGGTCTCATTTTCTGCTGAAAATTGTTTTTCATTTTCTTCCTCGCAGTCCCTTTCCCCACTTCTCTTTGCTTCTCTTCTCTTCCCATTCCATTTTCTCCTCTCTCTGACCCCCTATATAGTTTTTCCATTTAATATGCATTTGGCTGGGGTCGACGTGTCGGACACTTTTCTACACAGCCCTATGGACCCATCCTCCATATATTTTCTATGTTCCAT